AATATTTTACTATTATTAAGAGATTTTAGACATTAGTACTATTGTTGGCAGTCTTTAGGTGTTATTGTTGGAAAACCCTGGGCATTTTTATTATGAGATTAGGTATTACTACTGCTATAGTATATTGGAAGACTAAACATTATTAGTACTATTATTGGGATTTATTTTAGGCATTCTTACTATAATTAGGAATCATTATGCATTACTGCTATTATTATTGAAAAACTTTAGGCATTTTACTATTAGTATTAAAATTAAGATGCTTTAGGTATTATCTATATATCCTAAAACTCTCATGCCCATTCACTTGAATGGCACCTATTTTTCTACAATATTACCCCCTTCAAAAGGTTTTACAACAGCTTTCTGCCAATAGGTATCTCCTTGATATTTTGGAACTCCAGTTTTCATAATTCCACCCTTTAACTCTAGTTCCAAGGCTGTTTTTTTCTTTCTTTCTAGAAATTGCTCTTCCTACATTTTCTGTAAGTTTTACAGATCTGGGTTGCTCACTGATTTTGAACACCTTAAATTCTGGTCTTACCCACTAATTCGATACTGGGTCCAATTATAGACTGATCTTGGCTATGAATGTAACTTTAAGATGATTGTCTCCAGCTGATGCCTTTGAAATTATCTGTTCCTTGGGAGAGTTCCCCAGGGAAGAGCAAATGGGGAAAAATGATCTCAGGATGCAACCTGGTTTAAAATAGGAGTGTGGAAACCCAGGTTAAGCTGAAAATACAGGTTGTCCTCCACTCACAACCACAATTGATGCCCAACATTTCTGTGTTGCTAAGTGAGGCATTCAAGTGAGTTTTGCCCCATTTTATGATCTTCCTTGCTACAGTAGGTGTTAAGTGAATTATTGGAGTTGTTAAATTAGTCACCCGGTTGTTAAGTGAATCTGGCTTCCCCACTGACTTTTGTTGTAATGACGAGGCAGTCGAGTTGTTTGATCATGAACAACTGAATCATGATGATCTTTATTGGAGTCTAGTCTTGCATTTATACACATTTTTAATTATCTTCCATCATTGGTTAACTTTGGTTACTGCTTAACTTTCGTTACTGTTTAGCATAGTAATCCATACAATTAATTATCTCTAGTTAAAGTCTAACATATGTTTACTTCCTCTCTCTAATCCTCCTTTAGTGACTTTGTTTACCTGAGTTGTATTTGCTTGGAAACATTCTTTATCTGAGGTTTGCCATCCGAGATTGGAACATTCCTGCAATTACAACTCTACAGACTTTGCTTGTCGGAAGGTCGCAAAAGGGTATTCCTGTGAACCCTGGGACACTGCGACCGTCATAAATATGAGTCAGTTGTCAAGCACCTGAATTTTAATCACATGACTGTGGAGATATTGCAACGGTTGTAAGTGTGCAAAACGGTCATAAGTCCCTTATTTTTTGGTGCCATTGTAACTTTGGTCAGTAAATTAACTGTTGTAAGTTGTAACTGTTGTACAAAGGGCCAATTTAAACTTGACTCCCAGCTGTGGCCTGAAGTGGGTTGATCCCTTTCTGGTTTGACTTTTTCCCCTCAGGTGCCTTGCCTCAAACCATGGCTGGCCAGCACAACGAGACGGGAAAGGACGGGAGCTTTACCAGCGAGGACCTGGCGGCTGAAGCCATGGCCGCAGACATGGACTCCTGGGTGGTCTTTGACGCCCGCAAGACCCCCAAGGCTGAATTTGAGGAATGGCTCCAGACTTACCAGCCCTCCCGCGTCTCTCGCTATGGCAACCCGGAATGCAACACTGAGCCGGTGGGCTGGATTGCCATCTACGGCCCCAGCTTCTGTCCAGAGTCTGGTGATGTCATTGGGCTTCAGGAGGACTGGGAATGCTTGCAGCTGAGTGGGCGCCACGTGACTTTCGAGTCCATCAAGGAGCTGGCCCTTAACAGGCGTGTCCTGACCGGCAAGTGGCTGATGCACCTGGACAGCGGCTTCAAAGTGGATAACGCTTGGTACGGCATCGCCCGGGCCGTCCTCGAAGGGCGTGTCGGGGTGGCCAAGGTGAGCCCCTGCTGCCCCGACTCAGAGCGCAAGCACGTGATCTGCGTGTACACCGACGACTTCACCAACGAAGAAGAGGTGCTGGTGGCCGATTCCGTGATCCGGGCCACGGGGATCAAGTGCCTCCTCTCCTACAAGCCCGATGCTTACACCTACTTGGGTATCTACCGCGACAACCGCTGGCACCTCTGCCCCACCATTTACGAAAGCCGGTTCGATTTGGAATGCGTCCCTCGTCGCTCGCGTGTCCTCAACAAGGTGACCAACAGCGAAGTGACTTAAACTCCACTTCCAGGAGGCGTGACGCTCCCGGGGGAAACCACATGAAGGCTGGGGGGGGGGGGCGACTACAAATCCCACCCCTGCGGTGTTGACTCTTCTTTTCTCAGAGGAGGTAGATTTGCCCATTCTGCCTCCGTCATGGGGCTCTTTGTGGTGGCCAAGCAGCTTTTTTGGTGACGCTACTCGAGTGGACGTCTGCATTTATCATTTAAACCGCTAAAAACTATGCGAACTGATCGGCTTTGTAAAAGCCAAAGGAGCCCAACAGATGATCACTAGCGATCCCCCACCTTTTTTCCCCCTTCTCTCAACAGAATGGCTCGACTACAGCAGAATGATTTGCTGCTGTGTTTAGTTCCTGCCCATCGAGGGGAGGGTTGGGGTTGAGGGGAGATACCAGAATCTGAAGGCAGCATCGAAGAAAAGGGTGGAAAAATTAGTTTTGATGCAGGCGTGAAATGAAAACGCCAGGGCAAAGAGGTAAGCTGTTTTTTCCTTTCCGGTCTTTTGCTCAGAAAGTCATTGAATTTTATTTCTGTGGCTCTTGGCTGCGTTCGCCTGTAACGGGACTGAAAATAAAAAGGCATTCTCTTTCCGCCCCCATTCCCATTCCGTGATGGTTTGCTTTCGGAGTTTGTAGATGAAGCCAACTTTCAAAAAGCACCTTTGAGGGGAACCAAGGTTGCAAAAGGTTTGGGGAAGTCCTCAGCTCTTGGTGTCAGAAAGTGTCTCTTTGGCTGTTTCAGGAGCAGAGAGAACGAAGAGAGGCCCTACGGTTTTGCAATCAGGAGACATAAGTTTTCTTCTAATGGGCTGAAAAGGGTAAAAACTGAACGCTGAACTGGAAATTGGGTCTCTTTGACTATCACACCTCTGCTATATTAAGTAGGTAGCTCTAGAGCAGGGTTTCACAACCATGGCAACTTTTAAAATGGCTGGACTTCGACTCCCAGAATCCCCCAGCCAGCATGCTTTGAGGGGTGGATTTCCACTCCCAGAATCCCCCAGCCAGCATGCTTTGAG